CGCGTGAGGGTCGGGCTGTGGGGCGGACCGCGCCGACGGCGTCGCCCCCGTCCCTGCCCGCCTTCGCACCGGCACACGTCCGGGCGTCCCAGAACAATAATCGTAATAGCAGTCGCGGGCATCACGCGCCGCCTCTACCCCGCGCCGACCTCCGTGGGGCAGTAGCTTTTTTCTTTCTTTTGTGTGTGTGTGTGTGTGTGTGTATGTGTGCCAGTCTGGGATTTGAACTCAGGGCCTAGGCGCCGTCCTTGAGCTTTTCCACTCAAGGCTGGCGTTCTACCACTTGAGCCACAGCTCTATTTCCGGCCTTCTGGGTGGTTAATTGAAGATGAGCCTTTGTCATCCTAGTTACCCAGGAGGCTGAGATCCAGGGATCGCGAGTCCATGCCTGCTCTGGTAGTTAAGTTCCTGGGACTCTTGTCTCTGAGATTTGTCTGCCCAGCAAGGCTGGCTTGGAACCGCTGTCTTCCGACCCTGCCTCCTGAGTAGCTAAGATTACAAGGCACGAGCAACTGCTCTCCACCCCCGACAGTGCATTATCTTTAAAGATCGCTGCAGCATCTTGGGTGGGAGATGGATAGGGGAGTGTCTTGTATACTTCGGGAAACCCAGGCCTAGGCAAGAAGCTATTTGCCCCAGAGAGCTGGTAGGTTTGGTGAAAACTGGGATTCTGACTCAGCTGGCTTGGGTCTGAGCAACACCAGCCAGGCAACTTCTCAGCAAGGAAAGGGCTCATTTTCTTTTCCTTGGTCCCTCTGAAATTACCAAGGAATAACTAATTCAAGAGATATTTATGGGCTGCACCACACCTGCTGGAGCTTTCCTTGTGTATAGAATTTGACATGGTCTCTGCTTTGCTGGACCAGCAGTTCAATGGGGAGGCAGGTGAATTAAGTACAGAGTAAGGGTAAGGTTGCACTGTGCTGAAGTGTTGTGAAAGAAAGGAGAAAGCGTCGAGGAAACTTAACGAGATCAGAGTGGCTGGGGTGGGGAATGGGTGCTGTTATGGACGCTTCTTTAAGTATGTGTACTTTGGAGCTGCAAATTAAGGCTAAACATGATTTTCTTTTTGTTTTTTCCTTTTTTGTGTGTGTCAGTCGTGAGGCTTGAACTCTGGGCTTGAGCGCTGTCCCCCTGTGCTCTTAAGCTCAAGATGAGCACTCTACCACTTGAGCTATAGCACCACTTCCGGTTTTCTAGTGGTTTATTGGAGATAAGAGTCTCATGGACTTTGCTGCCCCAGCTGGCTTTGAACCATGATCCTCAGATCTCAGCCTCCTGAGTAGCTAGGATGACAGGCGTGAGCCACTGGTGCCCAGCTAAACATGATTTTCTTATGGGTTTGGCACTATGTTGCCTAGGCTGGTCACCACTGAGTATGAGTTCAGTGAGGTTTATGAGCATCTTTCAAGGGTTCCAAAGTTCCCCTCAGTTTTGAAAGTAAACTAAATTGACATCTACATGGGTCAGTTATAGAATCATGCAACAAATTCTAGTGGTATCTGGAAGACACAAGCTGGTCTGTATTCTGACAGCTGTTATGATATGAAGGGTATTTTAGTCACATCTGGATTCCTTTTTCGTTTTATGTGTTCCATTAATTTTAAACAAAGCATAGATTCTCATAGTTTGATTCATAGAGTGAAGATAACCCAGGATTTTTGTTGTTTGTGGTGGTGTTCATGGCCATTGAACAGGGCACTCACTTCTGGTTTTTGAGTGGTTTATTGGGGGGGGAGGGCTGAGAATGTGCTTAGTGGTACAGTGTTTGCCTAGCATGCATGAAGCCCTGGGTTCTATTAGTATCAGTATATTCTATTAGTACATCAATATCACATACACAGAAAAAAAGCCAGAAATGGCATTGTGGCTCAAGTGGTAGAGTGCTAGCCTTGAGCAAAAGAAGCTCAGATACAGAGCCTAGGCCCTGAGTCAAGCCTCAGGACTGACACCCACCCCCACCTCCACCAAAAAAAAATAGAGTCTCATGAGAACTTGCCTGGCCTGGCTGGCTTTGAACTGTGATCAGATCTCAGACTAGCTTTACAGGTGTTGAGCCACCAGTATCCAGGATGTTTAGGACTATGACTTGTAAAGGGTTTCTATTAATGAACAAACTACCTTAAGCTTAGATTTCACACCAGGGTCTCAGTTTCTCAGGTATTACCCATATGTTAGTTTACTCATAATCACTGTAGAAACTTTTTTTTTTTTTTGTCAGTCATGGAACTTGAACTCTGGGCCTGGGCACTGTGCCTTAGCTCTTCAGCTCAAGACTAGCGCTCTGCCACTTGAGCCACAGCACCACTTCCAGTTCTCTGGTGGTGGATTGGAGATCAGAATCTCACGGACTTGCCTGCCCAGGCTGGCTTTGAACTGTGATCCTCAGATCTCAGCCTTCCGAGTATCTGGGATTATAGGCGTGAGCCACTAGCTCCTGGCCACTGTAGAAAACTTTTAGATTCTTTTGGTCATATTGGAGTTTGAACTCAGGAATTTCATTTTTCAGGCAAGCTTCAGCCTGATTAATGTGAAAGCATATGATTTAACAGCCTGCATTTCTCAGTTTATTGTACTGACTGTTGATTGTTGAGGGTACTTTGAAAGTCCCAGAGGTGTATCATTTATGAGGGTGAAGGGACCATTAGAGAGAAAAAGGAAACGCATCTACAGGTAAATTGAAAATGGAGAGGAACTTGTTTTATTATCGGTATTAATGATTCATGTGTTCTTTAGCTGGGGAAATGTCTGATGAAGAGATCAAAAAGAAGACATTGGCTTCAGCTGTAGCTTGTTTAGAAGGGAAGTCACCCGGGGAGAAAGCAGCTATCATTCATCAGCACCTTGGCCGTCGGGAAATGACAGATGTGATCATTGAAACCATGAAGGCAAACCCAGGTATGCCGTGGAAAACCCTGGATTCTTTGTTGTAATGTGACTTTATTTTGTTTTTTGGGGTTTTTTTTGGTCCGGTCGTGGGGCCTGAACTCTGGTCCTGGGCGCTGTCTCTCAGCTCTTCAGCTCAAGGCTAGCACTCTACCACTTGAGCCACAGTGCCACTTCCAGCTTTTTTCTTTTTGTTTATGTGGTGCTGAGGAATCAAACCCAGGGCCTCAGGCATGCAAAGTAAGCACTCTACCACTGAACCACCTTCCCAGCCCAATGTGACTTTATTTTGTTTTTGTTGTTGTTTTTCGTTTTTTGTTTTTTTGTTGGTTGTGGGGTTTGAACTCTGGGTCTGGGCACTGTCCCTCCACTCTTCAGCTCAAGGCTAGTGCTCTACCACTTGAGCCATAGCACTACTTCTGGTTTTCTGGTGCTTTATTGGAGATAAGAGCTTCACAGACTTTCCTGCCTGGGCTGGCTTTGAACTGCAATCCTCAGATCTCAGCCTCCTGAGTAGCTAGTATTACAGGCGTGAGCCACTGGAGCCCGGCTTGTGAAATGTTTTTTTTTTTGTCGGTCGTGGGGCTTGAACTCTGGGCCTGGGCCCTGTCCCTCAGCTCTTAAGTTCAAGGTAAGTGCTCTACCACTTGAGCTACAGTGCCACTTCCGGTTTTCTGGTGGTTTATTGGAGATAGGTGTCTCACAGTCTTTCCTGCCCATGCTGGCTTTGAACTGTGATCCTCAGATCTCAGCCTCCTGAGTAGCTAGGATTACAGGCGTGAGCCACCAGCGCCCAGCTGTGAAATGTTTTATACATACTTGGTAAGGCCAAGATGTTGACCTCTAGCATTCTTTTACCTTTCTCTACCTGTGTTCTTTATGTTAGGTTATTAAACTTAAAGCCAGGCATGGTGACTCAAGCCTGTAGACCCAATTACTTGGGAGGCTGAGCCTAGGAGTTCAAAGCCAGCCCTGGCTATGGCAAGACACTGTCTCAAAAATTAAGATGACCTGACCACTCATTGTCACACCTGTAATCCTAACTGTTCAAGTGGCTGAAATCAAGTTTCTAAGCCAGCCTACACAGAAAAGTCTGAGAGACTCTCTCAAGTTAGCAAGAAAGCTAGATTCGTGGTATAGTTCAAGTGGTAGAGTACCAGCCATGAGTGAAAAGGCCTTTTTACTAAAGTGGGTGCTCAAGCCCTTGAGTTAAACTCCTGGTACCAGCTCAATCAATCTATCAATAAAATGAAATAGAAATGGATCAGTAGGCGAGGTGCTGCTGGCTCATGCCTGTAATTCTAGCTTACTGAGGAAGCTAAGATTTGAGAATCATGGTTTGAAATCAGCTTGTGAGACTCTTATCTTCAATTAATCACAGAAAAATCCAGAAGTGGCACAGTGGCTTAAGTGGTAGGATGCTAGTCTTGGGAAAAATGAGCCCAGGGACAACACCCAGGCCCAGAGTTCAAGCCCAAACCCAGGAAAAAGAAAAATTGATTAGTCGTACCACACTGGATTTGCTGCTCTAGCTGGTGGGAGAGAACTTCTTTCCACTTAAGTCCAGCAGATCATGAAGTACATCTTCTGCCAGCTCATTCCAGCTGAGGTGGAGGGAATGTGCTGCGTCTTGAGCAGGTGTGTGGGCAGAGCTTGTAGGTCTGGACTTTAATAGCCCTGTCCCACTTAGGAAATGTGATGGAAGATGCCTGCCTGTATTGTAGCACTGCTGGATGTAAGAGCTGACCTGGATATGGGATATGGGATAAAGAAAACTTTAAAGTTGGGATACCACCAACATGGCTGTTCTTTGAATATTGTTTTTGATGTGGCATGTTACAGTTTTCCCATACTTTGTTCTGACTTGAACTCTTAACCTAATTAAAGTCCTTCAGTATGTTTCCAGCTATTTGTAATCTGTTGATTTTTGATTTGTGAAAGATGAGCTAAAAGATACAATGGAAGAAAAGTCTTCAGACGTATCCCCAACTGCACAGAGAAGCCGAGATCAAAGTAAAGAATGCTTAAATACAGCTCCTGATTCTCCATCCAAACAGCTTCCAGACCAGATTTCATTCTTCAGTGGAAATCCTTCCGTTGAAATAGTTCATGGTATTATGCACCTATACAAGACGAAGTAAGAAAACCTTTTTCTCCTTCTGGGTTGGTCTGTGTTGTTTGTGTTTTGCATTTGGGCAGAGAAACTCTCTTGGTCTTGTTGGTTGGGGGTGGGGTGGGGGGTGGGCAGGGAGCCGGGGACGGGGACAAGGATGGGTAGTTGGAGTTTCAGAGAGAGAGTACTTTCATGGATTGTGTATTACGGAATTCTTAGATGTTTTACATTTCCTTGATCTTGTGAATGTGTCAAACCTTTCCCTTATAGAAGAAACATGTAGATGTACTTAAGATAATGCCTAGGAAATGTTCTCTAAGCAGGTAGGCATGGCAATAATTAGTGAATTGAAGGGACGAATGATAAAGCAAGGAAAGGAAATGATCCACAGCATCATTGTAGTCTCAGGTTCCACCAAATCTTCACTAAAATAAGGGAGGTCAGTTAACTAGTTGTATTTTGATTGTTTATTTTTATCCTTTTCTGAACATCCAAGGAAAGGAAGCATTTGGCTAGGTATTCTGCAAGCTAGGCTATCAGCTCCTTGGATAATTGGTAGCTGATGTTCAAAGGCTATCCTTGTCCTTGTCTGTTTGCCAGGTCCCTCCTGGGAAAACAGTGACTATTCAGCCATTTTGGCTCATAGCTCTCAAGTGAGCTTGCAGTATTTCAAAAGCAAGTTGCCTCGTGGAGGTGTGTCTAATCTGTTCTAACCCAGTAAAGGTTGCTGTTACCTTTAGTCATATCCTCAAGGTTTAGCATTGTCTTACAGATTTAGATTTAGAGTCTCTTTGCTTCTAGACCTTTTAAGAGATGTCACTAGCTAGAGTTGTATTTCTAACTTACCCAACAAGAGATTATGATTCAAAAATTAAGAGAAGGGCTAGGAAGGTGGCTCAGTGGCAGAGCGCTTGCTTCGTATGCACGAGGCCCTGAGTTTTATTCTTCAGCACCACATAAACAGAAAAAGCCAGAAGTGGCGCTGTGGCCCAAGTGGTAGAGCGCTAGCCTTGAGCTGAAGAGCTGAGGGACTGCGCCCAGGCCCAGAGTTCAAGCCTCATGACCGACAAAAAAGAGGAAAAAAATTGTGAATTTGCTCGTGCAAATTCATTACCCCAACGAGCCTTTAACTAAAGACAGAAAATTCTTGTGGGGATGTATAATATGGAATATTTCAAAGTTTGCCTTAAAATCTAATGCAGGTATATGTAAGGGATTTTACATTCACTCATCTAGTTTAAGCTGTTCAAGTTGATTTGTGCGATATGACAAGTTTTTTTTTCCTGTTATTGGGCATAAGAGTTGTCTGATTAGTGTTATCTGAACTAACCACGCCTCATCTATTGAAGACAGTCTAATTATTGTCTCATTAGTAAGATGACCTCCTTAAAAGAAGATGTGAGGCGCAGTGCCATGCTGTGTATTCTCACAGTCCCTGCTACAATGACCAGTCATGACCTTATGAAGTTTGTCGCCCCATTTAATGAAGTAATTGAACAAATGAAAATCATCAGAGACTCTACTCCAAATCAATATATGGTGCTGATAAAGTTTAGTGCACAGGTAAAAGTTAAGATCTTAAAAATCTCTTTACCACAGAAACTGTTTATAAACTGTATGATATTAGCTATGTGTGATTGACATTTTGCACCTAAGGCTCTTGACATACAGATCTTCTAAGGGACTGTTGCTGTAACTATATCTCCCAATTCGTGGAAGTACAGTTATAGGTCGTACCCGTGACTTTCCATGCAGCTGAGTAGGTATGGGTCCATGGGCTAGTTTTCTCATCCAATGATCTCTAGTGCAGTGAGGCAGTAGTTTCCAGACTTGGAGTTGATACCATCACATTATTTGCCATCACTCCTTCTTTCACAAGGTGCTCTTTGACACATTTAGAAAAATAAAATCCTTTCTGGGCAGGCATGGTGGCTCATGTCTGCAGTCTTAGCTATTCAAGAAGGCTAAGCTCTGAGGTTCACAGTTCCAGACCAGTCCTTGAGAGCAGACAAATCTGAGTTAACCAGCAGAAAGCTAGAAGCCAAGTGTGGCTCAAGTGGTAGAACACCAGCCTTGAGCAAAAAAGCACCCAGGCCTTGAGCTGAGTTCAAGCCCCAGTGCTGGCACAAAAATATCCTTAAAAAAAAAAAATTGTGATAGTAGAAGGAATTTTCTTTTTAACATTTCTTGGAGGGCTGGGAAGATGGCCCAGTGGTAGAGCACTTGCCTTGCATGCCTGAGGCCCTGGGTTCGATTCCTCAGCACCACATAAGCAAAAAGAAAAAAGCCGGAAGTGGCGCTGTTGCTCAAGTGATAGAGCACTAGACTTGAGCTGAAGAGCTGAGGGACAGCGCCTAGGCCCAGAGTTCAGGCCCCACAACCGGACCAAAAAAAAAGATACATTTCTTGGAGTGTTAAGGATGCTTGACAGGTCAGATTGGAAATCAGTAGAATTAACAGCCAGAACCACTGGTAAATAGATGATGTTTTAGGTTTAGTTGTTTTGTTGTTATTTTTAAGGTGTTATATTTTAAGGTATTGTACCAGAGGGGTTACGATTGGATGTCAGGTAATGAATACATACATTTCTTTTTGTGGACAATGACACCCATTCCTTTGCTTTCCCCTAGTTTCCCCCACCCATTCCTGCCTATAAGTTACATAGGTCATTTTCCACATAGTACATACTGAATAGTATGATTGTATTTACTCACCCTTCCTTCCTCGCTTTCTATATTCCCCCTAAAAAAAAAAAAATCAAAAACACCATCACCACGACCAACAACAGTAAAAACAAAACAAAAAAAAACATGTTGCACTGGTGGCTCACGCCTATAATCCTAGTACACATAGGAGGCTGATATCTGAGGATTGCCATTCAAAGCCAGCCTGGGCACAAATGTCCATGAGACTTATCTCTAATTAACCGCCAGAAAAACTGGAAGTTGGGCTATGACTGAAAGTGGTTGTGTACTAACCTTGAGCAAAGAAGCTCAGGGACAGCACCCAGCTCCTGAGTTCAAGCTTCATGACCAATAAGGAAAAAGAACAATAACAAATAAAACATGTTTCCATGTTAATAAATGTATTTTAAATGTTCAGAGAAGTTACACTTTTGCTTCTCTCCCCTAAGGATATCCTCCTAAAGTCTGTTTGTGTGTGAATGCCTAGAGTCCTTGTTTTAGTTTTTGAAAGTGTCTGTGTGTTGTTGTAGACACTTTTTGATACTGTCCACGCCATTTCATTTCCTAATTAGACTCCTCAGTCCTCCAGTGGGGTTTTACTTAACTCATTCCTATGAGCATGTATGCTTATCATATATAAGAATAAGATAGTGGGATCAGGAGAAAATGAGGAAAGAGGTGACACTTTTCAAAAACAAATATACTCATTACCTGAATTAAACAACTGTAACCCCTCTGTACATCACCTTTACAGAAACAATTAATTTTATTTTCATGTATTTATTTATTTATTTTTTGTTGGGCACCAGTGGCTCATGCCTACAATCCTAGCTGCTTAGGAGGCTGAGATCTTGGGGCAGGGAAGGTGGCTCAGTGGTAGAGCGCTTGCCTTGCATGCCTGAGACCCTGGGTTCGATTCCTCAGCACCACATAAGCAAAAAGAAAAAAGCCGGA